GCGGAGAGTAATGAAATGAAAAATACCCTCGGGGGTCCAACGGATCCCCCTTGCCCCCGTTAAGATCGTTTCAGTTTTACTCGAGCCGATCAGTGATTGGCACAAAAAAGAAAACATTGCGACTTTGCAGATCGTGAAGTCAGACCCCAGCTAGTCATAAGCTGCGGACTCTGCTCGAGCTGCCACGTCAGAAGGTATCTCCCTATCGCCCCCACTTAGTCGATCCACGTGCTCGGGCTCGTACGAGAAGGGGAAGGAAAAAGGTGGAATTTTAGCCTCGAGAGACCATGCCGACTTCACGTGGATGGCAAGTGAAGGAAGCATGCCGAGTGCATTCTGTCTCGCACGCCTTCGCGTCTGCTCACAAGCACGGCCTTATCTCTCCTGACTTCCACATCCTCCGACTCCAAAACGCTCGTCATCCGACTCGATTAAGTGGAACTTAACATATAACAGTGGAAATAACATGGGAGCCTTATTGATCTGCAGTGGTGACCACGATTTCCCTTTTTAAGTGAATTTCCCTGAAATTCACTTTTTTTGCCCTCCAAATCCTTGCATTCTGTCTGCTGATGTACCAGCACAAGTGGGACCGTGATCTGTAAAGAAGGTTTTGTTCAAAATATGCAACCCAGTTCTAATGTCAAACGTGTTGTTGAAACTTGGACGATAACTAAGAAAATAATGGCCTTATCAATACGATACGATCAATACGATGGCAAGCTGCTTGGTATGAACAAGATACAGGCCGAGTTCGTTTTGTGGCGAATTTGCACAAAAATTGGCATTTTTATTGAAAATTTTGGATTTGAAATTTGGTCCCGGAGGGGAAGGCACACGCACCCGTTCGCCCTTCAGGCTCTGGACCGCAATGCGCATGCGCACACGACCCAGGCTTTGAGCTCGGCGCCGTGTCAGCAACCAGAGCTGTCAGTTCCCTATCTACCTTCGTGGCGGATGGATCCAACCACGAACAGCCCTCCATCCTCCATCATCGTGTCATGGGCACCATTTGTCTGTTTACCAAATATAAATGAGAAATTTGGTTTTAGATGGCCGAAGACCGGAAAGTGATATCATTTTGTACTATTAGGTGACAAGGTGAGGGTTTCCTTAGTTGAAAGGAGGCCCACTGCTGGATTAGGCTTGCCCGACTTGTTTTAAGGTCTCAATTTCATTCCTTTTCTCATTATGCCCTCCTGGGTAGCCACTCCTGAGGGGTTTTCGGAGGGAAGAGACCAACTAAACGAAAGACATTGACTTGCAGATGACGAAAAGTACCGTTTCTGTTGTTTGCGATTTTTTTTATATAAAAAATATAATGAACTGTCGTTTATTTAGTCTTCGTTTGATCGCTCCAGCTCCATTCCCTAGGGTTGTTGGATGGCCCGGATGCATGACTGCTTCTGGATCTTCCATTTTTTAAGATGTGAGGCACATTTGTGCTGTGTCCATGGGATGAGGTTAGACTGAAGCAGTGGTCATGGCCAAGCGTGATCGTATGATCGCAGACTATAATGGACAATTAGTGGCCATTGATCCTTTTACGAAGTTGAATTTTCAAAAATTGGGTCAATGGATTTTCGGTATTCGTATACTTGCGAGAAAATTACCTGTAGCCGAGTCTATAGGAAACGGATCTGCACATTCCAATTTGACCATGGGAAAAAATGCTCAAGCTTGGATTGCAACACCTGAAACCCATCGGAAAGAGGTGAATAGAGAAATTAAAAATATCGGAAAATTATTGCCAATTCACATGAAAAGAGGAGTTGAAAAAAAATCTCCGCCTGCACAATACGCAGTATGCAGAGATGAAATTTGACAGATACAAATGAGCAAAAATAGAGAAAATTAGAGAAAGTTGGGCAGAGAAAATGTGAAAGTTTGGAGGGAAAAAAGAAGCAATAAACATTTTAGAAAATTAAAAAAAATCGCAAAACGGGTGCGTAATTACAACTCTTGAAAAATCTCCTGAAGTACGAAGTACACCATAGTTTTGGTCATTGGGATCCACCGGATCACAGGACGAAGTTCATTCGTCCCAGGAGTGTTCAATGAACGAACGAGAAAAAGCGCAGGAAATCTGAAAATCCTGAGAAACGGTCGAGATCCTTATCAGCTCGGAATAAGAAGGAGCCGAAACTGGACAGTAAAACATGTCAAATAATAATCTCGGCGTGTGCCCATTCAACGAAGCGACATACCGGCGACATAACGACATAATGGTGAACCGGGGGGTACAGCAATAAATTATATACTTATTCAAACAAACTCGCTTTGAACACGGTTCGCTTCATAAAATAATAATGCATTCGAAGCATCCCTTTTCGATTCTCATAACTACAAATTGGGTAAAACTCCTTGTATCAATAGGATTTTTTTAACCGTGAGTTTAAGCTACACCAGCTTATGTGAAGTGATTTTCAATCTGATATTAGGAATTTGAATCAGGATTCTTCAGAGCCGCAGAAATTTAACCAAAGAGTTTTTCTTCAATGCAGCGCCTTCTATGGCAAGAATTTTCTCTGAGAGAAATTGTTTACTCATTCTTCCCCCTAAACTAATAACCTTCAGCATGGCGGTGAAAAATTCGAGAACTTTTAGCGACCGAAATATATGCCCTGGGGGCGTGTGCGACTAAATGAATTTCTTTGAATTCGTTTATCCCAGGAATATATAAAAATCCGTTTCGCTGAAGCAGAAATTACTTGAAAACGTCTCCCACAAAAATATTGCCCCATGGGATACATCTCCAAAGTGAAAATTTCCTTGGAATTAGCAAGTCATCAGCTGCATTTATACTCATTTGCAGCTCTTCGTGTCTTTCCCTTTGACTGAAAGGATAAAACAATATAAAACGGATCCGTGAAAAAATGTGCCCCCAGGGCATACATCTGAAAATTTAAATCCTGGAAATCAGCACTATCAATAGGCACTTTCACGCCCATTTTCAGCTTTCCACGTCTTCGCTTTGCCTGAAGTAAAAGAAATTATTTTAAATTATAAATACACCCTAAATATACCTGCATATACCAGCGCTCCATTGCACAGGTTCATTCGTTAATTTACTTTCAAAGGGGCAAAAACGTATTATATGTTTGTGCCGGTCAAAATGTGTTCCAAGAGAGAACGAACCGATATTTTCGTCGAAATAGTTACTCCGATTCTTTCCAGTTTCAACTTTCCAGTTTCCAGTTTCCAGTTTCCAGTTTCAACTTTCTCTAGAACTCTCATCCAATTGGCCGAAGCAAAAAAATATTTAACAGTATCTCGCCTTGAAATTTGTGCGGCATTTACCTGGGGCATTTACCTCCAGTCTGCATTTTTATTAATTCAAGTTCCCAATAGGTATTTATGTATCAAATTTCACCTATCTCTCTCCGATGGGACAAAAATAAATTCTTGAAAACATCACCCCCCCCCCAAAAAAAAAAAATCTGCCCCCAGTACATGTATCTGAAATTTGATATTTTTCCTGAACTCAGTGCCTCAGTAGGCACGGCCATGCCAAATTTCAGCTTTCCATGGCTCTCCGTTTGACTGAATCAAATATGCATCATTGAAAACAAAATGGGCGCCCCCAGGGCATTTACCTCCAAAGTCTGATTTTTTCTGAACTCTACATCCCATTAGCTAATTGTGTACCAAAATTCAGGTTTCTAACTTCTCTAGAACATGGTTAGAATTAGAGTCAGTCACTCACTCAGTCGCGATCGGCTATATACAGTATATTATATTGATAATTCGGCTTGAACGGATATCTAGGAATATCTCAGTAGGACATCTAGCAACTCGGTCCCACCGTCGCAACTCGATCAGGTCTCACCATCATAAAATTATAAATCCAGAAACCCCGAGAAATCGACCCGAATGCCTACCCTAAAGCGAACCGATGAACGACCGCCAACACGACATCCAGATGAACGACCCGGTGAGTCCCCCGAACGATTTTCTGCAAGGCAAGTGGAGGGTTTGAGGCCTCGCCCCACCGTCTAGGATCCTCTTGGGTCTCCTTGGCCTCCAGTCGCGAGTCGGAGAGGCCCGGCTGCAAGGACTCCATCGTTCGACCCAAAGGTGACCTCGTCCGCCTGGATGCGCTTTCACGTGTGGATGGTCCATGAAGTTGAAAATATAATATTGTACGAAAATGACATGAACGAGATGGAAACGAGCGGAAACGAGTAAAATTAATGAGTGCATGAAAACTGAAAATCATCTGCGAAATCATCCAGGAATTATTTATTATAGACAAGATTGTAACATCTGAAAAATTACTAATAATTACTAGTATTCCATCCTAGATGTAAGTAGTTACATGTGCAATTCCTTCTCGACATTAGTAACTCGCTACTGAGCTATCTCGACATGGGACTGGTCTTCATTCCAGCAGTATTCTGGTGAGAAACACGGACATTTCCGACCTAGCTACGTATCGCAGAAAATGGCCTTTCGTGAGCAACACTGCTCGGTCGCACTTGAACTGCATTTTCAACTTCGTAACTGCCTTCAGTGATGGCAAGAAAGAATATACGTCGCTCATCCCTTTCATCTGAATTTGAGTCTGCCATCGAGAAAGTAACGCGTACGCCACTGACAAGGAACTACGAAATAATTGCTGTTTTCGCTACAAGTCCTGTAAAGTATCTCTTTACCACTGAAACTACCGAAATATCCAGTTAGTTACTGTGATGCCTTACTCTGACTTCGCTACCACCCAACACCGACCATACATGCCAATCCGATGATGGGTGCAGTTCCGACAACGCAACAACGTGAATTACTTTTCCTACGACAGAGGAGGCCGAGAACCCGAGGAAGTTCTACGTTCTCCTTCCGGTGCGAGTCGTCATCATCCTCATTTCCCTCTACTTCTTCATTTGTTCCCTCGACCTCCTGGCCGTTTCCTTTCGGCTGCTCGGCTGGAAGGCCGCAGGTATCCCACGGATTCGCTTTCCTCATTCTCCCGATCGTCTTCGAGATGAATTCGTTGCCTCTCTATGCGTTTCGACGAAGGCGAGATATTTTCGGACGCGGAATTGCTGCAGAATCCAGTCGTGGGGCTTGTGATCGGGATCCTGGCCACGGTTCTCGTCCAGAGCTCCTCCACCTCCACCTCCATCATCGTTTCTTTGGTTACTGCCGGAAGTGAGTGAAAAGAGTCCTATCTCCCAGGGAAATACGAATCGTTAAAATATATTATTATATAAGGTCAAAGAGCACTGAAATGAAACAGATACTCAAAATTAAGAAAAAATATGGTTAAAATGAAACATTGGGATCCATAACCTCTCACCGTCGTACGATTGATCGTAATTTGACGGGTTCTGTGCTCTCGATAGTCATAAGAGTCCGTCAGGCGATTCCGATGATCATGGGGGCCAACATCGGGACATCGGTCACGAACACGATCGTCTCCATGAGCCAAATCGGGAACCTCGACGACTTCCGCCGGGCCTTCAGCGGAGCCACCATCCACGACATGTTCAACTGGCTCTCCGTCGTCGTCCTCCTCCCCGTCGAAGTCGCCACGCGCGAGTGGGGGGGAATCACGTAGGATTATGGGTCAGCCAATCGTCAAAAAGATCTGACTGTGGATAGCCGAGATTTCGTTGACGACGTCGCGTGTAGGTGGTATTTTCCTGTATTTACACCCTGAAACGCTTGTTAGCATTCAAACTGAATCGCTCAGGAGAGGGGTTGCTGGAGACATCACGAACGTATTAACAGGAAGGACGTTGAAAGTAAAGTTGCTTTCAAGCCAATTTTACTTCGAGAATCGAAACTCCTTCGAATGCTAGGAATAGAGTTCGTGGCAAGGCACGACACTCAAAAGTTGCGCGTGATCTAAGGGGAAATTACGCAACAATAGAGAGAGACTTTGGGAAGAGAGGCCTCTGAACTCATCCATCCTCCCGAACTCATGGGAATACCAATCACGACGGATCGTCAAAACGTAACATCGGTAACTTTTCGAGTGAAACGAGGCAAGAGAACCAGCTCGAGGCGGGACGAGGACGGATCCGCTCTCCATCCCCCGGGGAAAGGTGGATCCGATCGACCGCGGTCCTTCCGGGGAAGTACTACAAGTTCGATACAGGCTCTCCATCTACGAGAGAAGTAGTCCCTGGATGTCGATGAGCCAGACACTTCGCGAGGGAAGGTGTTTGGGTCGTCGACGCTCATGAGTGCAACCGTTAAAAAATCCCTGGCCAGATAAAGAAGTGCAGGGGGACCTCGGTTACATTGTCGGGGCTGAACATTGAAATTTGCTGGTGGGTCAATGTACGCGAGTCTTTTTTTAAATATATATATACGGTGATGAAATGGTCGTAAATAGGGTAAATGTGCTTTGCTCGTGGGGGAGATACGGGCCATCGAGCTTCAGAGAGAAGCTTATGTGAGGTCATTTACTCTATAATTTCAGATTCCTCAGTTCAATCAACACAAAAAGAATCATTCTCGATATTCTAGATTATCCGGAGAAAGTGAGCGAGATAATGACTCGAGACATCGGGGGTGGAGACGCAAGGGTCGAGCTCCTCTCCGTCATCACGGATCCTTTCGTCGACCGGATCGTCCAAGTTCGTAGATTGCAGTTCTGAATATAAAGAATGGCTAATTGGAAATATCTTTAAAGTTTTTTTTAATATTTTTCAAAATACAGATTGACAGCAAGGTGTTGACTGGGGGGGGGGGCGAAAACAAGCCCGAGTACAGCAATGCCAGTCAACTCAAGCATTGTTCGGGCGACGACTCCGACTCGTGTCTGTTCCCGTTTTCATACGATTTGTGCGCTGGCGGTTAATGCATGGTTAATTGAAGGAAATGAATGCTGTCGTTCCATGTATTTAGGCTGCTACTTTTTTTCTGACACGGGGGTGAGCGATGCCGGTGTGGGTGGGATTCTTCTCGCATTGGCTCTTGGCTTCATGATATACTGCCTCCTCACTATGGTCAACAAGCTCAATCTCATCCTACAAGGTCTGTACTGAACGCTTCGCAAATACAAGATTCATTTGTATATGTTGGGCTCGATCCCTAATGTCCCGTTTCGCAGGCCCCTTAGCAGCGGCGACGAAGAAATACGTGAACGCGGAGCTGCCAGGTGTTCCGTGGCTGACCGGCTACGTCGCCATCGCCGTGGGGGCCGGCATGACGTTCCTCGTTCGATCCAGCTCCGTTTTCACGTCCACCTTGACTCCTCTGGTGGGGATCGGGGTCATCTCGCTCGAAAGAATGTATCCGTTGACTCTGGGATCCAACATCGGTACCACTTCCACGGCGATCTTGGTCGCTCTGGCAGCCGATCCGTAAAAATTGAAAGAGTCGCTTCAGGCCGTCTTCTGTCACCTTCTTTTCAACGTCACCGGAATCTTGCTCTTTTACGTCGTTCCCTTCATGAGATCCCCCATCCCTTTGGCCAAGATTTTGGGCGAGACGACAGCCAAGTATCGATGGTTCGCAGCCCTATACGTAGCCGTCATGTTCTGCATCTTTCCCCTCCTCGTCTTCCTTCTTTCCCTCGGCGGGACGTGGGTGTTGGTGGGGGTCGGAGGTCCCTTCCTATTGGCCCTCATCGCTGCTGTCGTCATCAACATCCTCCAGAGAAAGCGATCCAACTGCTTGCCTCCGTTCCTCAGGAACTGGAATTTCCTGCCCGAGCCCCTTCACAGTCTAGAACCATATGACACCATCATGATGAAACTCCCCTGCTGTAGTTTATGCCGGATGGCTGCTGAGACATCCGATGAAATAGAAATTCCTCCCTTTTAAATGGCAACAGTATTGTCGGCATTCTTACTATCAAGCGCCAATGTCTTTGTAGTGCAACTGTTGTAAGGTTTATTTCTGCCTGCCCAGGAACGCCAGACCCATTTTTACCTGTTACTTTGCATGTCATGAATTTTCGATGTTCTGTCTATGTCATCAATATATACGGTATCTTCACATCCTATGACTTTCATTCGAGGCAAGCAACTTCTCAGCATGTTCGAGGCATCTAATGCTCATCATACGAGTGCTATTAAAATAACAGGCATATGTGTTAACGGAGTTCTCCCAAGACAATGTGATTTTGGCCCTTATTACATACACTTACGAAACGAAGGATTTCGTAAGATCTCACTCAGGAACTGTTCTTCACTGCAAGGAACCGCTTTTTCTGAAGGCGATCTTTTGAATGCTTAGTTTCATGCCAGATTGTTTTATGGCGTCCAAACTTAAGTACTGTCCGAACTTACTGTGCATTTGAATTCACCCCTATATCTTTTCACAAGTGAAACCAAATTTTAAAATATGAATTCCGCCAAATCGGGTTAAGTGCCAAAACCGAACAACTCTTTTATGAACTTGGTTATCGCTGACTTTCAGAAAGGGAGTGTGATGAGTTTAGGGACACATAAATCTCCCAAGACCCTCGTGTAAAATATGCAACAAGGATTTCCCACAATTTGGCTCATCAGGTCACATATGGCACTACGACCTAGTTGCCGGTTCCTGTGCTACCCGCAGGCTTCACTTCTGAACAGTTTCGGCTTCAAAAATTCCTGCCTGGGTTTCTCACCGACTGCTGGTTACAACTGACGTCGGGAGCAACGGTTTTTCAGCGCTGCTATGGCAAGAACTACCCCACCGGATCCAGTCGAGGCCAAAGCAAACGAAAGCCAGGACCTCCCCCTCATCCCACAGCTGCGAAAGCGAGACACCGGAAGGAGGTGGCATCCTAACAGTGCATCGCTCACCCTGACAGACGGTGTTTCCTCCCCGGCATCCCCATCGCCTTTTCCACCTCACAAATTCTATGATGAAATTCTATTCTTCCTCATCGCGGCCGTCATTCCGTTGCTCCTGTATGGCCGAATTGCGGCCGACTGCATGCAGCCCGTGGCGTGCGTGCGTCAATTTGAAATTTGAGGCAATTTGAGGTAATTTGAAATGAGAGGAAACGGAAGTGCAAGTTCATTTTTTCATCTTAATATAGCTCTGTCTGATGAGTTGCGATGTTCGTGCTTCCTTGCATTTGAAATTCTGGACGAGAAAGGAAGATTTCTGCCTAGTTTTAAAGATTAACACTCACCGCTTCAAATTCAATAGCTTTTGAAAGCTAGAGAAATAAAAATTCCCGATCCATCCCAGGTGTTTCACTTTGGCACGCTCATTCCTCCCATGTACTCACATTTCACTCTGTGCACGACTGAGAGTGGATAGATGAATTTCACCTTTGATGAGTAATTTTTTTTCTAGATTAGATATTTAAAAAAAACGAATATCACAATCGACGAGCAAAGAGTTGTAGTGAAATTTTCTGCGACGAAAAAAAAACTCTTCGACGATGATCGCCAGCTGAGTGAAGCGTCTGGGGCCTTGCCATGGACCGTGTCATCACTACGGATGAGACACGGATGATGGATGATGGACGTGGATGAGATGAGACTCATCTCGATCCCGAAAGAAACGACGGAAGCAAACCGATTCCGTTCCAGTTTCCACGAGTTGCTTCGAAAAGATTCTGTTCCCAAGGGTCAAATTGCTGCCGACGCCTGTTCGAAACGGATCTTCCGCCGGAAAAATTGCGCCAAGAGAGTTTTTTGTTGTTTTTCGTGGTTAGACGGGAAAACTAGGATTTCATTGTTTATTTCCGGGTGGCATTCGCTCATGTTCCCGTCGCGTTCCTCGGGGGCAGAAAATTCGAACGTCGGTCTCGTCTGAGTCTCGCGATTTTCGCGACGAAATTCGCAGGCTGGGGCGAGGAAGTCGAGGGAGACCGGCGAAGCCGCGAAAGAACCTCGGGGAATACCTCGCGGGAAATTGAGACCGGAGATCCGTCGAGGGATAACGAGCGTCCTAGATGAATCCAGTGGAGTGGTTTCTCCCATAAGTGACATGAGCGACATGCAGTACATCTTGGGGAGCTATTCTATTTTTCATCTCTTTGTGAACCACTCCACTAACTCGAGCTCACAGTGAAGCGGAACCGCGAAACCATCCAGCGTCTTGGAGGGATGGAGGGGGGGGGGAGAGGGGGGGGGGAAGGGGAGAGGGAAGATCTTCCTTCATTCGAAAGGTTCCTCGTCCTCCGTACGCTTCTCGTTTGGAAATCCGGAATGTGCGTGGAGGCGTTGACTTTATAACGAAGATGCAAGGTGTCGATATCGAATTTCACAGTTAGGAACTCGGTGCATACGTGGGGGAACCTCGGGCTAACGCATTCTACCTAACTAATTTGTCGTGCGGGTCTTCTTAACTGTGCTCACGTCGTGGCTAGGGACTGAGCAACTGATTTCGCTGTCGACTTCCCTCGTAGGCACTTTCGCCCGAACGAGCTGCTCTGTACGAGCTCTATGGGAATTCGCGATCGAAACGTCGCTCGTGGAGAACCTTTTCGGAAACGAAAACGTGTCGCTCTTCGTCGAGGAGACGTAGCTCGCGAAACTTTACGCGGAACTCTTCTCGCCGCCTGCCGGTTCCTCGGATCGCTGCAATTTCGCTTTGGCACGCGAACGGATCGAGACACCGCGGATCGTGACGTCGTACCCCAGCCATTCGCGAAGACGCATGGACTCTGCTCGAGCTGCCGCGTCGGAAGGGATCGGTCGACTGCTCGTAGGAGAGAGCGAAGACGACATGCCGAATTTTCACTCTTGTCGACTTCACGTGAAGAAAGCATGCCGAGTGCATTCTGCCTCGCACATCCACTCCACATCCTCTCACGTGCCGCCCTTCTCACGTTCCGCCCTTCTCACGTGCCAGAGGCCGTCGTGCGGCAAAGCCTCTCTCAGTCCGATTGGGAATTCTACCTTCCATTGTGGAGGAAATGGTAATTCCCAATCATCCTTCGCATCTTCTGATGCTTTCCTCCGTCTGTGTTCGACCCCAACAACCGGGGGTTATTGTGGGGCAACCGGGGGTTATTGTGGGGCAACCGGGGGTTATTGTGGGGCAACCAGTGGGCATCGATGCGGAATCGATCTCGAGCACCGCGCGTCGACGTCACGCGTTTCGCTGGAAGACGAAGGGATTCACCCACTTTGACCCGCCGCTGCGTGACGAGCTATTTTTTTTATTTCAATTTTTTATCCGTCTTGCTCCCAAGTCAAAAACATTTTGTGCAAAGTGCAGGAAAAGAATCTCATAGGCCATGAAGGTTAAAATTCAAATTTCTTCGGCGTTCGATCGGTTCGACTCAAGGGCGTGCACGTTCGAGCAAATTTCTCGCCATTTTTCGTCGATCGACGCAGGATCCGAGGCGACAGGGGAAAATCGGGATCCGGTTGAAATCGGTTGAAATCACCTCGCCGAAAGATCATCGCCGTCGTTAAAACGCTCTCGTTTCGGAATTCGCCATTAGGAATATTGGAATCGATCGATGCGAAGCGAGATCGTCGCCGCGGAGAGTCGCTCTCTGCTTGCCGTTCCGTTCGTACGGTTCCGGATCGTTTCGCTCGGAGACCTTTCGGGGAAGCGAAATGGGATTCCTCGACTCCTTTTTTTCACAAGACGTAAACCGGCTCGGGGAGACTCTGGACTGTTCTGGTTCGGACCTCGGAGGGAGAATGCTTCTATTAGCCGCTCGACTCCATCGTCTCTGCATACCCTTATCGTGGTGCATTCTTTCCCCCCCTCCCCCCCCCCCTCCTCCCCCTCCCCCAAAAGAATATGAAAAGCCCACTGGCTGAAGCCAGTGTGCTTTTTTCTTCTGCGATAAATTTCTTCCTGCCTGCATTTCCAGATTCCAACTTTTCTCATCGGAAGATTCCCTGTCGGAGCCTCCAAAGGAGGCCCAACTGTATTAATCCCCAAACGTAGAAATAACGATATTTAGACTCGTGTTGGATGTAATTAATCGCTGGCAGAGGCTCTGAGAGGGTTCCTCTTGCAAGCTTCACATTTCTTACTGTTCTGTTCCACATCTTTCCATTCACTTCTACCGATAATTAGCACTAATTTTCCTCCCAAAATGACCGCCGCCAAATATGCGGCGAAATTCATCCGATGCCTCCTTTTTCCCATCTTCGACTATAGCTCTCTAAATTTCTCCTGTTTTTGTGCGATGGAAAAGGATGCCATTTTGCAGATGAAATGGCCAAGCATGGAATCTGCAAACCCTTTTCCCTTCTTTGGACTCGATTCGGTGGATGCGTCACTTTCCGTCGTCCCTTCGATCGTAAAAGAGATCTATTACATACATCTTCACCACTTTCTCATCCAAAGCAATTGAGAGAGGGGAGAAGGGGAAGGTTGCTCTGCAGATGATCGAACCGACCGTCCCTTTGTGGGCCATGCACGGCGAGAGGATACGGGACGCGGCCCTTTCGCGGCCCTTTCGTGACCGTTTCGCCCTTTTGCGTATTATGTTCGCTGTAGTGGACGGTTATGATTCAGGCTTCGATTACGGCTTTCCAGTCAAGGTCCAAATGCCTCTGGCGGTTCATTTATTCAATGCTGCCTCCTGGCGTTGGAACGTGCGACTACTGCGGCCCTTAAACGTTTCTCCGATGAAAACTTCTTTTTGATTTGCTTTGAAAAATTAATGGACGAAACGGTTAATTCGTGTCAGGAATAGCCTCAGGTCTCAATTGACCCGAACGGAAATAAGAAGCAGAGGTATTGGGAAGATACAATGTGCCGTCAAATTGCAAAGGGGGGGGGGATAAAATATCCTGAGAGATACTGAGAAATTCCTTGCCCCCCCGAACGATCTCAGATTTAAGAAGGGGGCATATAGTTGGTGTTATTCTCCTTTGCATGCTTAGTGCCATGTCTCCTCGGACGTC